ATATAACTTGAATATTTAGGACGATATATGCACCAGATTGCACCAGACACTGGTATTGTACTTCATAGTAAATTATTTCATATTTTGTGTGTTACAGTAATTTACAGCAGGTACATTAATTTATAAACCTTATAAAGACCTTTCAATTTCATTCCCATTGATTGCCCATTCAGGGCTTTATATTTGAAGAATATTAAACCCGACAGCTTCTTTCGACTTGTATAATGCTGCTGTGAGTCATCAATATTTAAATCAACAGTTTAAATAATCTTTATCGTATACTGTATTAATGACATTTTAGCAGTTTCACCAAACCATACTAGAGGCAAACAACCTATCTATCAATGGAAACTTTAAAAGGCTTATTAAAACTCATAATTAAGTATTCTATGAGCTGGACTTCGTGCGCATATATACAGTTTATGAATTATGTATATCCCTGATAAAACGTAGGGACACTTTATACCAAATATAATAAAAAATACTTTGCTAAACCTTTCGGCTATCATTCCTTTGCATTCAAGGGGCGAGGGTGAATGGCTATATAATTCATATCGGAGATTCTGTGCAATCTGATTTAGTGATTTTGGCTTCAACAAACAGGTACTTGTGCAGACAAAAAAGGAAATGCATACAGTTGTGAATTGTCGTATAATTTTTTACTGTTGATCCCAAACAATTTTGTACATGTACGTTAACACTCCTTCCTACTTTGTGTTGAATATAAACGATGATAACCTTTTTAAAAAAATCTAGAGCACTATGTCTATAAACCATTTTAGAATCAATAGAATGGGCATTTAATGTCTATTTGGCTAGTGTCCAAATATGTAACGTTTGCTGTAGGACCAGCAAGGCGCAGCGCCTACGACCTACACAGTCGCTTTTGAGACCTCTATTTAACAAAATTTATACCGTTTCCATATGACAACAATTCAATGGCATATTATAAGAATATTATACGTATCTGAACCAGAGCCAGATACAGAAACGTACGCGTGAAAAACAAGGGGGAATTTCGTTCTCGACCAATCAGCGCTTTTGTTTACATTTTTGCCCTAAGCCAATCAGAATGCGTAAAACGCTTCATCACATGAAATTTGCAAACAAATATATGGGGTTACCTCAGAGCTCTTCTGCAAGCGGTTTTTTTCTTTTTTGCCATGAAATTCATATATGTTGTTCTTAAAAGAATTCTCCTCAACTTCCTCGTGGCGATTTTTGATTAATTGCGTGATTGCAAAGATATGGGTCTTCAAACTTTGCATTGCGCAAGCTTAAATACCACCCCTCGAATTTGTAGGTTCCGAACGGATTGGCGTTTTTAAAAGCCTTTCAAATGGAGGTTTGAGAGGTTTTATTTTCAAAAAGATACTTTTATCTTCATATTTTCACATTAACTTATTAATATCCTGTGTAACAAGTAAACAGGACACTTCCGGGCCGGCACAAGTTGACATGTCGATTTCTTGCTAAACAGCGTGACGATCAATATGGCGAATATCTAAATACAGGGAATTTTTAAAATTTTGTTGGTATAAATGGGCTAAAGAAACTCATCAAATATTTGGACTATGGAACTTCAAACTTATGGCAAATATTTATTTGGTTGATTAGCTCAATAACCGTTTTTTGGCTCGTTTTTCGTCGATTTCAACGTTTGGTCGACTTCAGAATAATGTGTCAACATCGCGTGTTGCAGCCTGTGGACATGAATATTTTCGTTTGTTTGACCATAACACTTGTCGTATTGTTTTGAATCCTTGAATGACAATATATTACTGGTCTCAGAGTCCTAAACTTAAGTCCTAAAAAAATGGATGACTTTGGGACAGATATCAACACTTTGTTCAGATATCAAAATTTATGGACATTATGGACATATATAGTCACTCATGGCATATATATAGCCATAGGACCCTGATTGTTTCTTCCTTAATCTGGCCCACTAGTCACAAATGGGGCCTGTTCTTATGACCTGGCTAGGCAGGAGACAACATTTGCCAGTAATGCCGACATAATATCCTGCTACAGTGCTACTATACTATTCTGGCCTATTTTATTAACTGTGTTCTGGCTAAGGACGAGGTATCCACTGCCAGAATCCCAACTATGCAAGCCAAGAAATTCACCATTCACATGCAGTAAACATTCTATCCCACAACCAGGCAACATGAACTTGCCTTTAGGGTCCCATGCTGCCTAGCCCAGATCATATATCCAGACCCTTAGCAGATCCTGAAACTACAATTGCAACATTTTAGGCCATTATCTTGTAGAATCAAGCAGGTATTGTCATGCAGTAGTATAATATCACACCAGGCAAGCTGGTCTTGCCCATTTATATAGGCTTAATATACACCTGCCCATGGTAAGATACTGACTCGTATATTAATTTTATATATGTTTGCATGAGATTGCATTCACATGAAACAGCCTGGTTGAATTATAATTTATTGGCCCAGCATCTGCTTGAGCAAGTTGATATCCTGCATTAGGAGTCTCGCACTAATAAAGGTCATATGCTGGCCAATGCAACCAGCTCACACAACTAAAAATGATGTTATAATACACAATTTGGCCCAGGTAAGTAAGAAATTGATTAGTATAAGCCTTCTGAAGCTGTTGTCATTAAGAAATCAACCAGAATTTCACACAATTAAATTTCTTGTCAACACTTGCCAGGTTAGCCTGGCTCCTGTGAGGCAAATGAAAAACTAGCCCTGAAAAGAAAATCCAGCCAAGTTTGCTGGGCTAGCATGGCCCATTTTGACAGCCTTTAACAGGGAGAGCTTATTTTTGAAAGGGAGATCTGATTTTTGGAATGGAGGCCTATTTGTGAGGTCGCTGGGGGCTTAATTTTGGATTGCATTATTATATAATATGTGTAAAATATTCATTTGTGCACAGGTATTCTGGTCATGCACAAATTTATGGACTAAAAGGTTTCAATTATAGTCTCGGGATTTATTGGGGACCTGTTTATATGATCTAGCTAGGCTATCCAGAACACATGCTTGAAGCCTATCATGTTGCCTGTTAGGGATACTGTGCTTATTGTATATGGTGAATTCCTTGGCTTACATATAGCCAGGATTCTGGCAATGGAAACCTCATGCTTAGCCAGGCCAATAGTAGCAGGATAGGATAGGACATACTGGCCAATGTCGTCTCCCACCTAGCCAGGTAATATGAACAGGGCCCAATTGTGACTAGTCAGACAGATGAAGTAAAAACAATGAAGTTCATATATGTCCATAAATTTTGATACCTGAACAGCAACATTGAACAAAATCATTCTGTCCCAATGTTATCCATCTTCCTCATCTTCCTTAAGTTTAGGACTCTGAGACCAATGAGTATATTGTCATTCAAGGATTCAAAACAATAAGACAAGCGTTATGGTCAAACAAACGAAAATATTCATGTCCACAGGCTGCAACACGCGGTAAAGACCTAGCTATATGATTGAAGCCTATGATTGGCTAATTGCCTTCCAAGGTAGTGAAGGTAGTGACCAATCGTATTGCAATAATGAGTTGTCCCCATTCTCCAGACGACAACAAATGCAGCGCGGCGAGGAACACATGCAGAAAGCACGCAGAAAAAATTGAGAAGTTAATGTCTGTATGTGTAGGAAATTGCATCAACTTTTGGGTTTTTTGGCTCATCATGATGTGAAATTGCAAAGACTGTCACTACAGTATATCCAGAAAGACTCACTTGTCATTGGTAAAGTTGTTTATTTTATTTATTACTGAAATTACTTGTCATTGGTAAAGTTGTTTATTTTATTTATTACTGAAATTATGTACATAATTTTGGCCTTGCAACCAGGCCCGTAGCTGGGGGG